TCTCTCTCTCTCTCTCTCTCTCTCTCTCTTATCATTATTAGCAATGCTTACACTCTCAATTGTAGTGCTATCATTTTTTCCTCTTTTCTCTTGTCAGCTAACATATAGCAGTAAATCAATGCCACTGTTCTCGAATAGAGTATTACTTATCACAAAATAGCTTATCGAAATTTCATAAAATTTTCTAAATGTGTAAGTATACAGTTATCGATTGAATTCATAAATGTAACCACGCGATATTCTGAAGAATCATTCGTTCTTAAAAAATTTCAGAAGCAATGAATTATTTGTTTTACAGATTCTTAGATTTACTTACCGTATTGCAAATTTTCAAAGATTTATTTTTACAGCCAATTCTCAGAGTTATAACTTTTCACATAATTCCCAAAGTATCTTAATTTACTCATTGAAAATGTAATCTTTTTTAAATAATTTGTGAAAAAAATGTTCATTTCAAAAATTTTCCCAACCTTAATTTAATTAAAATTATAATTTTCCTGAAATTAACCATAGATTTTGAAAGTATTGGTGACTGTTAAAAGTTCATTTTAAATATTTTAATTCGAAGAAAGAATATTCAATAGGAAGTTTATTATACTATTTAGCTTTCATATTTCATTTTTTTTTCGATTTCCCAACAAAAATTTATTATTGTTTCAAAAAGTCTTTGTCAAGCTGAACATAAACATCACTGTCCATTGGTCATGTGTCCGATGACAAACTTCCTCAGCCCTAATTGTTTCTACTCCTCAAAATTCAATTAGCCATTAAAAACTATGCAAGTGGACATAGTCGCCAGTAGTTGGATGAAAATCATTTCTCATTTAAATTAATAAAATTTGAGGAAAAACGACTGAAAGGAAATTAGCTTAACTAGTACTTTATGCAAAAAGGACATATAGTTTTCTAATTTGATGAATTCTGTCAAAGAAATGTTACCTCTAGAAATCAAACCCTTAGTTTTCAAGTGATAATTAACTGTGAAGGGATAAACGGGACTTTAGTATTCGTATCAAATAGTAGTAGAAGATTTTAAATTATTATTTTAAAATTTCGTGAAAAATTTTCAATAATTATCAGAAATCAATGGTTACTTGAAACAGGCAATGTCAACTGATATAAAAGTGTAATCAGTAATGCGCTGTTAATACATAGACTATTTTGAATTAGATGAAATGAAATTTAAAATGTTGTGGAAATTTGAAACTTATTGGAGAAATTGAACTTTCCATGGGATAAAATAAAGAAAAGGTTTATAATAGATTGTTCGTTATTTCTTGAAAATGACCTATTTAATCCAGCATGAAATGACATTCTTTTCCGTTATGGGAAAACGAACAGTGGTCCCTTAGCTAAGAAAAATCAAGGAAATAAAATTCTCCTCTTTTTCTTTTATTTCAGCTTAAACAGCACACCAACACTATCATCGTCACTATCAACAACGACATCATCGCTATTATCAGCACAATCATCACCACCATCAATATCATTATCATCATCCGTATTATCATCGTCATTATCACCATCATCATCATTAGCAGCATCAATCACGGCATCATCATCATTACCATCATCATCACCATCATCATCATCGGCATCATCATCATTATCACCATCATCATCTTTGTCATCGATGATGCTTGCTAATGAGATGGAAGTTATAGTGCAGGATGATTGCAGATTCAGACCTACACTTGAAAATTATATCACAATAGTTTCATTTTGCATCATTTTTTTCCTCTCCGTTGTTGGCAATGCTGTCGTTGTTGCTGTCATTTTGCAGGTTTGCTATTAATATTAGTTTTCAGTTATCTGTAATAGTCGGGGAAAGGGAAATTTTCAAGCCTTAATTGATAAGAGATATTTTTAGGCATTGTGTTGCTACATTGATTAGTTATCACAATACTTGAAGAAACTCACTTGACCGATTCAATTCTTTCTTTTTTTTTTTGATAAAAATATAATCTTAGCAATTTTTAGCAACGTTCAATGCGATCAGTGACAAATATTTACTTGTTAAATTTGGCAATATCAGATTTGATGTTATCAGTGGTCTGTATGCCACCTACTCTTGTTAGTTCCGTTATTTATTGCTGGATATTTGGTGATCTCCTTTGCAAGTTATTTGCATACTTGCAACGTATGTTTTGCTTTTTTTTATTCTTTTCATTGCATGCATGCTTTTTTTTATTTCTTTGTCTTTCATTTTTAGAACAAAAAATTCTTTCATAATTCTATTACAGTTAACTTATTTCGCAAAATTTTATAAATTCTGCTTTCTTTGACAGTTCTTTTATCTCTATCCCTTTAAGGTTAATTATTATATTTGCAACATACGCTTCGCTTTTTGGGGAATTTGAAAGTTAGGGGTTTGACTTCTAGAGGTAACATTTCTTTGACAGAATTCATCAAATTAGAAAACTATATGTCCTTTTTGCATAAAGTACTAGTTAAGCTAATTTCCTTTCAGTCGTTTTTCCTCAAATTTTATTAATTTAAATGAGAAATGATTTTCATCCAACTACTGGCGACTATGTCCACTTGCATAGTTTTTAATGGCTAATTGAATTTTGAGGAGTAGAAACAATTAGGGCTGAGGAAGTTTGTCATCGAATGTTACACATGACCAATGGACAGTGTTGTTTATGTTCAGCTTGACAAAGACTTTTTGAAACAATAATAAATTTTTGTTGGGAAATCGAAAAAAAAAATGAAATATGAGAGCTAAATAGTATAATAAACTTCCTATTGAATATTCCTTTTTCGAATTAAAATATTTAAAATGAACTTTTAACAGTCACCAATACTTTCAAAATCTATGGTTAATTTCAGAAAAATTATAATTTTAATTAAATTAAGGTTGGGAAAATTTTGACATAAAATAAACAAAAAATGCTATTGCAATAATTAAATCAAAAGGAAAAACACATTAAAATTAAAAAATTACCAAAATAGAAAGTGGGAAAGATACTGTGATAATCGAGAAGAAAAGAAGGAATCTATTCACCTTATCATTTCCAGTTATAATCTTTAGTAATATCGAGTATCTGTGCCACTACATGGTCTCATATTACTTCGACAGCAAAAGCATCTCTATTAAAATATGTTAAGAGAATATAAAAGGATTAATTGATAATTCTTGTATCTCTCATTAAATTACCAAGTATCATTAAATTTGTTTCTCCTATCTTCCTGTTATCATTTCTCGTCTTTAATGATATATCACAACAAAGTATAAATGAATATTATTCTTTCTTCTTATAATATAATAATATATTTGAATGTTTTGAAAATTATTTGGAAATTGTATTATAAGAATATGAAATATTTGGATTTAACAAGAAACAAATCATGAGAGGAAAGACAGATATAATATTAATCCCTTATACTATCATTATTAAAAGGAAATTGAAATGTCAATGATCAAAGCTAACAATAACAACAGGATCATCCACAATGACAGCATTTGCCATGACATTAACACCAAGACCATATACAATGACAGATGACAGATGCTGTCATGACAATAACAACAAGAGTATAATATACCGTGGAATTTCTATATTCAACAAATTCCCAATGTTGGCTATCAGTTCGAGAAAATGCAGTTTTTTTTTTTAAATTTCATTTTCATCGTCCAAACATTGCAAAAAAGAGGATGAAAAAAAGTAACAGCAAGAAGGCTAACAAATAAATTAGCATGAAAATTGAGAAATTACAACAAACAATAATTAAGCGAAATTCTTCCATTCTTTTATTATTCAAATTTCATGAAAATTTTCAGCAGTTGTTGTGACAGCATCAGCTTATACATTAGCTGTGATAGCATTTGAACGATATTATGCCATTTGTAAACCATTGCATTCGAGAATTTGGCATACTCGATCACATGCCTATACAATGATCGCTTTAGTTTGGCTTATTTCGGTTCTTGCCAATTTACTTATGCTTTTTATGTTCGAACTACAAACCTACAATGTTAATGGTCTAACATGTGCACCCAAACATCGACCCATTCTTCATTTCGGTTACCAAGTAATTAATTAATTAATTAATTCCCTTCGCGAATATCTTATATTGGTGATATATGAATGCATTTAACATTAGTTTATTTAATTTTTAAATTATTCAATATTGACTGATTAGTGATCCAATTCCTTGAAATTGTTGGAAAAAAAAATCTGTTAAAGCTATTCGAAACAGTTTAGTTTTAAACATTTCATATTTTATTATTGCAGATATACATGACCTCAGTGTTATTGCTTATTCCATTATGCATAATGATTGTTTTGTATGGATCAGTGATACATGCACTTAGGGTTGACATGAAGGTGGATCATACTTTCGCTGCAACAACTAGTACTGTTTCCAACATTTGTTTGGATTAAATTTTTCTTTTCAACATTTATTGTTATGCCTCAGAATCCTGGTATGATGACTTTTTTCTCTCGATTCATTTAATCCAGGAATCTTATCGATTCACTGATAGGAAAGGGTCAAGAAGTGAAGCAATCATACATGGCTCAATCTAACAGTTGATTAATTCCCCAATAGTTCTCGTAATTCAATTAAACCAATTCTTTGGTTCCCAATTGAGTTGGATCATATTTTTGATGGTATCTGTAAAAATTTCAAAAATTTAGAGGGCTAAGGGAAGATGAATAATGGCGTTTGATTATTATGATAGCACTATGATTATAAAATTATTTAACAATTTAATAACTGTTGAATGGATGACCGAATTTTTGTAGTGAAAAAAAGATTGAAAGAAAAATTACAACTCAATTATTACTTCCCAGTATTTCTCGTAGTCTTGTGATCCCATTTTGGATACCATAATCATACTACTGATTTATTATGCTCAGCCTCTCAAACATTAATTTAAAATTTCTCTTAATAAAAACCAATCATTTAAAATTTAAAAAAAAGTTTGTTTCCTTCTTCCGGTAAAGAAATCAGGCATGAATAAATGATTGTCTTAATTATTTCAAGATTTCCGCTGTCTTTGAAACGTCATTTTAAATGACGAGGAAATTCTAAAGTTTGCTATGACCATCATATCTGCTGAATTTCCTGAACGAGTTCATTTTTTAGATAGCAGTGCTATGACAGGCAACGATGAACAACAACGACTACGCAAGTATACGGTATCGGATAGCTTGAAAATGATGAAAAGTGGGAGTGGGAAAAATATAAAGTCAGTAAATATTTGAACATTTTAATTAGTTCGAAAATACCATCTTTTAAGGTACAAAACAAAATAAACGATTCGATAATGATTTAATAGAATTTCATAAATTTCAGTCTCCAAATTCAAATTTCAAATATTACATCAAAAAACGAAATTTTCACAATGTTTTAATAGTTTATTGCGTAAATTTGCCTAATTTTATTGATATTTTATAAAAAAAATCATACTGTAACTAACAAAAGTTCAGTTTGGCTGCATCAAAGAAGTTCAATTGCTTCAGTTGCTTTTATACTTCTATGAAACAAATACGAACTACTTCCGATACAACATCATTAACCAATACAAGGAAAGATAAATCGATCGATTTAAGTAGCAAAAGTAGCCTGCGATCAACACACAGGTAATTATTACCTTTTCATATCATCCCACTATACTCAATCTTCATTAATATTCATATCAAAAAATGATTGGAAATATAAGCAATGATGATAGAGCTTTAACATTTGTGACATCATATCTTTCAATCTTATCACATAATGCAATTTGATATAGCAAGTTGATTATTGCAAAGCAAACATTTGATAGTTTAATAATATCATCCCTTAGAATAATAGTTTCCAACAAATGGTCAGGGAAAGCTGAAGCGTGGTGAATTGAAAATCATTAATAAAGGGGAAAAATTGAACTTCGTTCTTTGTGATTGTAATTTTGTTACCATATTCCTTCTTTTGCATATTATTATGTTACTCTAAAGTAAACTGATACATCAAAGGTTTGGATTAAAGTTTATTGTCAAATTAACAGAATTTATTAGTTCTGAATCCTATAATTCCTACAATAAATGAAAAAGTCAAAGTGGTTTCTGGTCAAGAAAAGGTTAGGAACCACTATTTTAGAATAATAAAGAATAAATTTAAGTAAAAAAAGATTAGGTCGAACTTTGAATGTCCAATAGTTTTTTTTTTTAAACAAGCTATGTACCCCTTTTACACACTGTTTAATAAATAACAATTCAAAAGACAGCTAATCTTTTCCTAGTCTATCATAAAATTCTGAAAGAAAGGAAGAAGAAAACGAATTGGTTAACTAAACTTTGAGTAATCTGTAATCAAGAAAATAACAATAATAATCAAGAAAAATTTTATTATTATTATTATTATTATTATTATTATTATTATTATTATTATTATTATTATCATTAATTATTATCATTAGTATTAATTATTTTTCCATTAATTGTTGTTTTTCAGTGAACGGTCAGTTTTGGCCAAACAACGTGTCATCAAAATGCTCATCGTTATTGTTATCATATTTTTTTGCTGTTGGACACCAAATTATATGTGGTGGCTGTTGTTAACAGCCCAGGATTCATTTAAGGTCTGGCTCTTTTCCAAATTTATAAATTAACGCCTAGTCATTTCCATCTACTTATTGTTTATCTTATTAAACTCTAATGGAATGACTTAATTTTGATTTTGATTTTTTAATTTTCGATTATTCCAACCATCTCTCAAATTCACCGTTTTTTCCTTAATTTGAATGACATTCCGTCTTCCTTTTCACGGTTTACAGTTCTTACGTATCACGCATATTTCAAGCCTTAATCTTCAAATACCTTCGTGGTGTTGGTATTCCTCCAAATTATCTTCACTTCCCTATATTTGCATATCTTATATGGTCAAACAAAGATTTGCAGACTTTTGATATTTGGAACTCAGAAGTGAACACAGCAATAACAGTACTCTGTTACATATCCTCGTGCGCTAATCCAATCACCTATTGTTTCCTTAATAGGAAATTTCGTACTGCACTCCTAGTTACATTTGGTTGTCTACGGAAAACTCCGAACCATTTCTCGACTGTCTATTTACCCGAATTACCGATGGATACATTGACATCAAAGAAATCAAACGAAGAAATGATCGCTCTCCGGACAGAAAGGTTATTTAAATTTCTCCCACTATGCAAACTTTCAAATACTTGATGTGATAAAAATAAAACGTAGGTTTGAAAGAATTTCATCATAGTATGTCCAGATAAAAATAAGATCGAAATTCATCAAAAGCCATCATTGTTATCATCATGTTGTATACCATACTAAAGAGAAGTACAAAAGAAGCCTGAGCGAATATACGATCTCATCTTACAGGACGAATCGAAATAATCAATGGTCAATGAATGTTATCCACTCTCAAACAGTACTTCATCGTACAGGTCCAACTACTGCAACGATAGCAATGACAACAGGACACCAAGAAAGGAAGAGGCCAGTACTGGGATAGCTATCAATGGAAAAGAAAAAGAAAATTTATTTGACATTATTATAATTAAACCTAATATTCCTTCGTCCCGAATACAAAAGTCCAATACGTTAAAACAATTCTAACAATGGCAATATTGTGGGAAAATCTACAGAACGCATCCAGAAATTATTAAAACTACCAGATATTCAATGTGTCATCGGTTCTCGCGGTGATGGTGGCACAATGATAGCTCAGGTATATCCAATATCCAATAATTACCAAAACCTTTTTAAAAAAAAAAAAAGCTGGAATACTAACAATTTGAAGCATCCGAGTCTAGAATGTGACGTTCATAATTTGAACTCTCAGAGAGATAAAACAAATATTCATCATTAGTCATTACATACAGGTTGCACCGGAAATCATTTAACATCTTATTTTTTTGGCAAAGCTATTTAGCATTTCAAAAACAAACACCTTTATCTTTGATCACTTTCTTATTACGCTATAGCATCGTTGTATTTACTCTGTGCTGCTCATTTTCAGTAAACTACTAAAAAAGCTAGATTTGATTTAAAATGGTCGCGAATCGGAAAGGCAGCATTAAAAAGACAAGAGATAATCTAGCTCTATCTCGCATCTCCTGCTATAATGTATCACCGGTAAACAGTCATTTATGAGCATGTTATTAACATATACAACAAAAATGTCTGTCCTCAAGTTTGCGATGCAACGACTGTAATATGATTTCGTTTGGGACGAAATTCTCGGTGTATTTTGTGATTATTTGTCCACGGTCCAAGACTCTCATTCGCATAATAATCCATGGGATATGAGTCGGTTCTAAATGAAACATACTGCAGCATGGCCACCAATTCATAAGGGGTAAGAAGTGGTTTCTTGAAATTTGCACCCCAATCGATCGACAAGCGAGGACAAGCTACCTGAATCCAGCTGGAATACCAAAATATCACAAGCATCATATCATATCATAACTCACATATTTGCTGACTATAAAAAAAACACTTATATTTTAGCTAAAATTATACACATCATTCCGCATTTCAATTTTTTTAATCTCACTTTAATAAGATTAAGAGGTCGAATTTGATTTATGAGAGGTTTTCCAGGTAAAAATTCCGTTGGAAGCTTTAGTCAATGCACTACCAGTTGTTCAATATAAGCATATTTCCAAGAAGGGGACAATCCACTTCAAGAGATCAATTAGTTCCCAACAACATTACGTCACGGCAGATGAAAAAAAAATGTCATTTTGAACCGTGCTCGTTAATTCATAAATCGTCATTCCCGGACAGTAAAGCAGAGAATTCTTGCAACAAAACCAAAACTAGCTGATCTCTTTTTTGGTGCAAATGGTAAACTGGGGTACGGTACCACAGACCTTTCAAGCCACAGAACTTTTGAAAGTAACAAAACTCCTTTTCTCTCCAATAGATTGAAAAACAGAGGTATTACTTACCAATCAATATCGGAGAAAGAAGACAACTTTTGGGGCGTTATTTCCGAAAGAAGGACACGTACAAACTTTTTGCCAGCTACTTGTAGTTTCTTTTCCAAATCCTAAAAGCAAAGGTTCCGCAAACCAAATCCATATTTTTTATCTTCGCTTTTTCGCGCATAAATAAATCAATTAATCAATCAATTGAATAAATAAGTAAGTAAATAAATAAACAAATAAATAAATAGATGAATAAATGAATGGATGGATGAATAAAGAAAGAAATGGATAAATAAATAAATAAATAATAAACAAATAAATAATAAATAAGGTAAACAAATAATAAGTGAATAATCAAATAAATAAATTAGTTAACTGATTAAATATATATAAACGAACCCCAAAAACTTTAGGGTTTCCCTGTCTACCTAATGAACCTTGTATAAGACCAAACATGCGACATTTCCGAGCTATTTCTATAGCTTCTTGTCGCTTTCTGGTCATCAAATCAAAATCGTATTCTTCATGCGTGAACTTCCTGAAATCTTTTTAATTCACGAAAAAAAAGAACGAAATATAAAATATTGCCAAATTGAAGTAAAAGAAAAACAAAGAAAAATAAAGAGATTTTGCTACTGAATTCAATTTGAAAATAAATGACTAAAACATTCAACTTCGACTCAAACAGAAGGATTAGGTTGAAGAAATTTTACAAGCCCCAAAGTAAATAACATATAATAGAGCATAACTAAGCCCCTGGAATTATGCTTACTTCGAATATGGATCATACTGATAAGCAACAACAGATGGATTTTGGATCATCACTGATTCCAAATGAAATCGCCCATCGCCCAAGTATCTGAAAAAAGTTATCAAAATCACCGTAATGCATGCTAACCCAATATGAATATGAGATTATTTATAATCTTTTATTCCTCAAATTATTAATATTCATCATCTTTTGATATTATATATGTAGAAAAAAAAGCGTACTTCTGGAAATAAAATTCTATGTGGTATATAATAGATATACACTATATTTTTGGTGTTTAATTAACTTATACTTGGTAGATTACTATAATATTTCCATGAAGCAATCAATAACGAACATGACTGCGTCGACGTCCTCCTCTAATTTGGGAGAAGTACAACCGAGGATTTCACCAGGACTGAGAGGTTTCACTTGTGGTATCGAAATATTATAACCTTTGCTAATTAACTCCTTTTTAACGCACTGAAACAGTTAATCAGTCGAATTTTTTTCGTCTTATTCAAATTTTATTGGTCTAGTTTTGGACATACTTAAGCAAGTCGATTGTAAGCTTAATAATTCCAAAACCTACAAAAATCATTACTGTTACATTTAGTGACTGGATTAAGTGAGAATATTTAACAAATAGCACTCTGAACCAATTTCAAAATACAATGCATAGTTGCATTTGATACATAGTTGCTCATTAGGTGGTCATGCTGATTTTTGCTATGACCTATGTAACATTAACCCCATCATTTTATAGCAAAAAAATATAATAAATAGAACCAACTTGCAAGCATGGAACGAACTGGATGGTGCTAACTAATGCAAGTTTCTTATGCTTTTCGAAATTAGCTTTTAATACATCAATAAAATGACCAAGATTCATTTCGATGTTCACAAAAATATAAAGCATTTCAATTCCTCGTGTTTCTTGAATTGGTATTAAACAGCTGTGTCCATAATGCACCATAAGATCACATCCTGCAAATATTTAATATTTCAATTTCAAAATATCATACGTCTGCAAAAAGAAAAAGATAGAAAAGTAGTTTGACCACTATCATCAACTTCAACTAACGATTGAAAGAAGTTTAATAACTGGAGTTCGAATACTTAAACCTTTTAAGAAATATGATACGTTTGACACTTGCGCTGCAACAAAAAGATAAAAATGACTAATATGGATTAGATAAGATTGCTGGAGAAAGTTGAGAGTGCTTAGATTTTGAAACATTTAAACAATAAAACAGATCGGGTGAAACTACCAAGTGCACGTGCTGCTTGGTCACCAACACAACATGCTCCATATGTGACGTCTCCCATAATCACAACTTCGCATTCTGAGTATTTCCGCAAAATGTCCGCAATAACGCACGAATAAAGGAGTAGTCCTTCGGGGAATTGCAGACAGACTGCAAATTTCAGATCAAAATCTTCGAACTATTAGAAATCAATCCAATTTTAGACCGTTGTCAGGAATGTCAAGTTCAAAAGATAAGGAACCTACTTACATGAACCAAATTCCGATGCAGATGTTTAAAAATGGACATTTTCACAATCCATATCATTGAAAAAATAAATTGTCTACCGCAGATTCTTTTTAAGGTTTATTTCAGCAGCAATAATAAGAGCAAAACTATGTCACTTCAAATATATAAATGGTTGCATTTTTCGAGTAGCGCAAAAAATCTTTGAAAATATAAGGAGAAAAATACCATTTTTGCTTTCCGTAGCTCGAATTTTCCAAATCGTTTTCGGGATTTCGAAATTATAATTCGACGGTAACTTAAAAAAAACGATTAGAGACAAGTAAAAATAATCCATAAAGTGCTTCACAGTATAGGTTTTCCAGAATACTGGATGGTACATTTTAAGAAAAAAAATTTGAGCTGTTAACTCACAATCTTCAAATCATTTTGCAATGCTTCGTCATTACTTATTTCTGCTATATGATTTCGAATTGCTGCAATACGAGCCATGTATTACTCAGTTGCAATGATGCGACGAACATCAATTCGTCTACACGAAACCCTGAAAACATATGCCCATTTCCCCAAGATTTTTTGGGAAATCCGGAAATACAACATCAACTGCTGGAATTCTAGAGCGGGCGAAGTCTTTTTGAAACCGTTCCCAAACCATACATTCTTCTGTGGTGTTTCACATTCAAACATAAAGAAAATCAACTACTTAGGGGATAGCGACTCTGAAATAACTGGTGAAATATGAGTGAAGATAGTCGTATTCTTGTTTTAATAACTGCAAAAAAACAACTAACAAACACGAATTCAAAAAATTGTTTTATCAGAAGAACCACTGATTAATGTACATATATTCTGAACAGACATGAATTTCGTAATTTAATGTTAGCTGAATAGGAGAAATCAACAAATGTTATGGAGTTATTGACTTGGCAACTTTTGTAACACAGATCGCACAGGGTAATTAAGAAAACTTCTTCATAAAACATTGTTAGAAAAAAGGAAATCAATAAACTCATCATTTTCCCACCGAACTCATATTTCACTCTTTATCACCCGCAATCTTCTTCGGCAGTAGGACAGCGTGAATATTCGGTAGCACACCTCCTGAAGTTACGTGAAGGTGACAAAACTTACGTATCACTTGACAATGCAGAAAAGACTTATTTTTTGGAAAAAAATTATTCACGGAGTTTATTTTGGATGCATACTACCACAGGCATTCAATATATTAATTCTGTTCGTTCGGATAGACATGACGATACCTTGGGCAATGGTGACTCCAGAAAGAAGTTTGTTCAGTTCTTCGTCATTACGAACGGCTAACTGTAGATGACGTGGATTAATACGACTCTTCTTATTATCACGTGCAGCATTACCGGCTAACTCAAGCACTTCTGCGGCTAGGTACTCCAGTACAGCTGCTAGATACACTGGTGCACCTGCGCCAACACGTTCGGCATAGTTTCCCTGAATAAATTTCTAATTATGAAAGATCTAAATATACGGAGAAAGTTGTAATCTCAAGATGTTTTTTTCTGAAATAAACCTGTTTAAAGTCGACTGAATAATTAAACATATTCTACAAATATGTAAGAGAGAGAGGGAGGAAAAGAGTCAGAAGAGGAGATACAAATGACTGGTTTCAACTCTAAAATAATTATTCACAGCCACCTGTCAACAATCAGATTTGCTACTCTTTTATGGACAATGCGATTGGAATCAGAAGAAGGATGATGAACCTTGCGAAGCAGCCGATGTATTCGACCGACGGGAAATTGTAGGCCAGCCCTGCTGGAGCGTGTCTTGGCTTTGGCTGATGATTTAGCTTTACCTCCTTTGCCTCGACCCGACATTTGAATCACTTCAAATTGCACTTAAAATGTGCTCCCTGAAATAAATCTGGCTTATTTTTTAAGACGCCAAGCTTAGTTCAGGACTAAACTTGACTTTAGCCACACAACCCACTTTGGCCACTTCCAAAGAGCATTAGAAGACATCGTCAAGCGTTAACAAACCAATAGATGTGTCTCAGAAATGCCGATATACTTTGGGTTCGGCTAAAAGAACAGAAGTGAAGAGACGATGAGATAATATGCGAAATAGTGAGGACGGAGAAAAAGGGGAAAACGACATATTGTACTCGATGTGGCGAGAGTTATTTATATTAGATAATAACTTGTTCCAATGCCTTTTTCCAGTTGGATAAGATTTTCCCGAGATATGCGATATTGGCGGGGGTTTTACATTGGTTCTCGATGTTATTTCAAGGTGCATAGTGTTGTTGGAAGTTGAATTCTGTTTCGAAAAACTTCTTCGAGGTGTACAAATTACATCGAACAGGTAAAACTTGGAGTTTTTTTCAAGACTTCTGAAGTGGTATCAAATAAAGGTCAAGTTAAGGTCGAAACTCTAATTTGTTATTTGCTAGTATTGAGTGTCATGCAATACCCAATCTCAATTAAGTGATTTATCTGTTTGCAAGGTAAGCAATTTATGAAATACGCCATAGTGTCAACTAAAATTAAATTTACCATTTACTTTAGCTAATATTTAGATTGCAGATTTCGCTCACATTGTTACACACCCATACCCATACCCATATACATAACGCACATACACACACATACATACACACACACACACACACACATACATACAGATAGACACCTCTTTTCAAATTAAACCAATTAATGTTCAAATGGATGACTTTGTTTGACAAACTAGTCTTTTTCCTTTACAAATCCTGCACTGGACACTGTGTGGATGTCGATCTCTGGTAGCGTTTTCTTTCCTGATAGTTGTAGTCTTCCATTATTCCCATCATATCAATGGAAAAATATGGGTTGAAATTACATTTAAATGTTTGAAAAAAAAAAGCTAGATTATCAAAAATGTACGGAAATAGTCAACAAAAGCGCTCGTCTGGTTGCTATATGATGCTAAATATAGAACGATGAAGTTTGTTAAGGTGATTGTTGTAACATGGAAGAAGAAAATGACACCCGATGACGTTTTGGAATATGTGCGAGCTGTCCGTTTGGAAACACAAATTGTTGCAGTTGTTCAGAACAAAGCAAGTTATTAAATTGGTTTTTCACTTTTATGTTTACTACAAAGTGCGCTTCTGTTTCAGTTATTTTCGTGGTATAATTAGGGAAAGAAAGACGAATATAACGGAATGATAGGTAAGTTACATTACAAATGTCGGACTGAGATATGAAAGCTCAAAAATGAATGAGTACAACCTCAATGTTCAATCATTTATTATTTATTTTGTCGCCATTTTGATTCATTACTAATCCATGTTGCAATCTGGTCAGCAAATATCGCTTAATTTTTTATTTTTTTACATAGCTGGTATTTATCATTCATTCTTCTACCAAACAACGAATGGATTCAGTCAATACCGAAGTTTTCATGGCAAAATAAAAATGCAGTTTAAAGATTTCTGCAAGTTGAAATATTTCCACTGTGACTAGGTTTTTCTTCTAAGCTTGTTAGGCTTAGTTTCATAAAGTTTACAATTCAAATTGCATCCTGCATCGCAGAGGCTGTCTTACTGCAACCGTGAATTGGATATTTATCATAATCGTTGAAATAATATATAGCAGAAAGGAGAAGCAGAACAGTTGCAGCCTGAAATAATAAGTTCATGTTATTTGGTATCAGTCTTCGTATCAACATTTTACTGGATACAACAGAAAGTAAAAAATAGTATTCTCTAAAAAATCCCTTCACTCTTACTTAGTGCTAAAAAAAATCCCCCAATCTTTTCGCAAAATAATGACCCAAATTAAAATTTAACCCACACCTTCTCGATAAATCTCCTATCAACAACAGTAATCTCGAAGAATGATATGCCTACTCGACTTCGATACAGGTGATTAATATATGCTATCGCTACGGAATATGTCTGAAAGTAGAATAAATTCTTTGTCATCCATCCTAACAGATGCGCTTTTGTGTTTTTTTCTAATTCTGGAAACGCAAACTTCACCGGTAATCTATGGGAACTAAAATGAACGAAGGCGATTGTGAAATGCAAACAAGCGGACAGGTAGGTAGGCCTTAATCCAATGCAAGAAAAAAATTTAAACATGATTTCGAAAGTTCTAATCACCTGTTCCTGAAGAGCGCTAGTACCAGCAATAAGAACGATGAGCAGATAACGGAAATGTGTCATATCGTGGCACAATATTAAGCATGTCACGAGAGAAGAGATAATTTGTGAGACAGCAATTACAATAAGCAATATAGTACAAATTAGTACTGCAATAGTAATCGGTTCCAATGCTAATAGTTGATCGATAAGGCTGGATAGAGATCGTAGAAGAAATATGCAAGAAAGCGCTGAAGTTGACAGGTGAAAGCTCATCCACAAGCTAGAAAGGTCACTTTAAGTTTGTAATAAACTTATCACCAGTTACCTTTCGGGTGACACAACGCATTTTTCAAAATCTGTTCATAATTTGTTCTTAGATGATTGTGAAAAAAAAACCTTTTGTGACAGTTCCTAAATGATGCGATAACTTTTTGTCATATCATTAATGATAATATGCTGTTGGTAAAAATCTTTTTTTTAAGACAACTTCTTATCAACAGAATTACTAAAACATCCAACATGTATCATCCCTTAACGATTAACAAAAGTAAATAAACAATTCACAAGTGAATCCTTACTGGCTTATTAGCTATAACAGGACGTTTTATTATTCACTTCAGAAATTCCATTTGCTCGATAAAAATTTGAAATGTTTACGGTGGAAAAAATTTCGCACCTGAGTGACCGACCAAAAAGCGCATGCGATCGTGATAATGTCCAATGAGCGGTAACGTAATGCCTAATTACGGGTAGTTGATAAGTGTTGCAATCATTCGCAAAATCATCACTTAATGCTCGATATTCGGCACAAATAATGCTAATTAGACTGTATACTTCAGTATAAATAGCCGGATAAGAGAATGCAACATGAATAAAAATACCAACAAAAAACCAATGGAAATTATATGGCAGATTAAAATTTAATGGAATTTTTACAACAGGTGAGTAATTATTTGCAATTATTCGCAATACTTTATAAGTTATCATAAATATGGTGATAATAGTTCCAGATATGATTGCACCAAGCTGAAGGAGACAAATGTTCATTATATCATTCGTTTTTTACATTATGAATCATTTGTGTTTTGTTTATTCATCACTGTACCTTATTTAACCTTTTTCCTTTTGTTTACTTGCCTTTGTTTATCCTTCCTTACTTCCTTTTTTTTATTTATTTGTTTATGCTTTGTGCCTTTCACTTTGCCTCATTACTTGTAAACCGTAAAATTCAGTTTTTCCTAATTCCTCAATTCAGTTTTTCCTGATTCCCCAAACCGGATGTTATGTACTTTTGAATTGGAGGAAATGACCACTTACTCTTGAATGCATTTAATGACCATCTATGCAATTAATATGTGTTCATCTGTTTGTCAATCCGACAAATAAATTATTTTCAATTATAGTAGTAAAAGCTAAACTTTACATGAATATTGTTGAGCAATGATTTCCGCCTTAGGACACCGATGCCAGTCGATGTGGTTTGAAGACGTCGTCGCAATTTGTCATCAACTGAATGTCGATCCCAATAAACCAAAAAGCATAAATTCAAGACTCCTTGCAGTTGCAAAATTGATACAGCTATTTCTGGTGGATTTCTGTATTATTTACAAGTTAAAAATGAAAACAATTCTATGTTAGTAATGATAACGAAAGATAATGGGAAGCAATAATAATGATAATGATAATGAGGGTGAATGAATAGAAGCAAAATTTAACAGTAGCAATAAAGTGATAAATGATAATATCAGTAGACAGAAAAAACTTACGCAGAAATCGTTCGCATGCCATACCAAAATTGTATGATTGTAATCAGTAATATAATGATTAAGGATAAAACAATAAAAATCGCATGACATTCAGATATTCGACTGTGTCGTCTATTTTTTTGCCTGAGGCAGGTAATCCGGCAGCAAAGTAAAGCAAGAATTAATTGTACTGGCCAGAAATAACGGACAAACTTGAAATTTAAATACAATTTAATTCAATTTATAATTTACACATGATACAAGACAGTATGAATAAACCATTTTCTTCACTTTTCTATTGAAGAAGTATTTTTCACCAACTCCACATTAATATAAATCCATTTCTTTAGAATATCAGAAAATAAAATTTAAATGCAATTTAATTAAAAGTTTAATTAATTAAATTTGAGTGAAAATAGAAAATGAAAAATCAGATTGAAAGTTAATGAAAGATATACCTGAGCACGTAAATGCTTTTGAATACGATTACTAGAATTGTGTGTCGAGAAATCAATCGTCAAAAATGGCATCCTATTTGCTCAAAACGCACATCCAAATATCTACCGATTCATATTTTATTTCTTCTAAATGTTAACATGTATTTAAATTTTGTCTGGAATATTTTTTCAGACAAAATTTAAATGAATGAAATATTTCATTTTCCAATTTGACATTATAAGAAAAAAAACAGTTCAAGCAATTTTCGAATTTTATATTTCAAACTTAACCAGCATTTTCTAACATCAACAATGAACAATAAATGGTAGTTATTATAATGGTAATTTAGATAATTTCTTATAATTGCAATGACAATTTATAATTGTAATGATAATTTATAATTGTAATGATAATTTATAATTGTAATAGTAATTTATAGCTGTAATGGTAATTTATAGTTGTAATGATAATTTATAGTTGTAATGATAATTTAGATAATGACCTCGAAAAATGTTCACATTTCAAGAAATTATTCAAAAATAATAATTCGAATAGTTCGTGAAGAAAACAAGATTTCAGTTCAGAGATTCATTTTTTTTTTTTGGAAGGACGATCATTATTCTGAATCCATACAAAAAAAAAAAAAAAAAGAAAAA